AAGGTTGATGATCGAACTTCGAAATATGTCTAGCAGCAATGCCAGGGAACTACGGAGGCACACACACACACATAGTGTCGAAAACCCCATTTGTGAAAGGTGTGGAAACCCCATGTGTGAAAGTCGTTTGCCCTTAACATGCTTCAGCACTTGCAAGGCCTTGATCAAAAACTGCACACTGGATGCAGGGGTTGCGAGCTGGCTTTGCTACACAGCGCTTTGCATGTCATGTCAATGCTTACCATTGTCTGGCAAGTTCGTTGCCTCCACTGCTCACAGGTGATTAATTAACAGCAGATAGAAGCAGAATCGAATGCCACAGCACACATGCACATGGCAACATGCCTTCCAATGCTTCTGCTGGTTCTCCAGAAGTCCGGATCTCTTCAGAAGAAGAACCATCACCATCATGGAAGCCAGCTTCACCTAGCCAAAATCACTAGACCAAAATGGCGAAACGTGCATATATGTATACATACATGTACAGTGGCTGCAGCATTTCGACGTTTGCAGACATCTGAGTTCTGGACATGTTATGAGCGCTCTCTTCATTCAGCACGGCACACAATCCTCCAAGGACATGCCCACTGTGAGCAAAGCAATCAGACTTAAGAGTGCTGCTCCAAAGTATATTTGCATCCAGCCTAGAGGAAACCAGCTCAACCCATTGAAGCCGATCATCAAGGCACTGAGCACCTGCTGCCATCAAGCATGCTCTGACACATCAGCCACCTATCCAACATGCTGTAGCACTACAGCAGACACACCAAGCAATGACACGATCTCGGCCTGAACCAGGCCGACGATGTGAATGAAGCCACGCCAGCACATGGACCGAGGCAAAGCAGCAGGAAGCTTGTTCGATGCACTACTCATTTTTGCATCAGAGTGCATCGGTTCTACATGTACGTACTCGTATGCCACACTAATGTCCACGAATGTGTTTGGAACCTGTGTGGGTGTCTGCATCTCTGACCTGCATTCTCCACACAGCTGTCATATCATTGACTGAAATTACGTGCACAATAGTTTCTTATTTGATATACGAACCGAAACCTCTGAGACAGAACTATATATATCTGCAAGTGATTCCACAACACTAGCTTTGCAAACCAGCACTGCAGAAACTTACATATTCTAGATTTCGATCCTAAGACAGGGGAAGCTCAATCTTTGTCAAAGTCTAAAGACACCACTGCCACAAGATGTTGCAGCAGAACAGCACGAAATCATGCTTGGCTTTGTGATGGCTGCTACTTGCAACCAGGCACTACAGCGATTTCGGACAATCAGTTCTCCTGCCAAGACGCACACATATCACAGCTGCGTGCACGACTGCACACGAAACATGGGCCAGAGCCAGGACTCCGACAATGGGCCATACAGTTGACCCAAACACTGCACATCATCTCCCCAATACAACCCGAAAACACTTCCAAAATCCAGAAAATCCCTCATCGCCGATAACGCCTGCTCCCAATGCAGCGAGCGTGTTACTGCATGTGTATGTAGGGTTGTAGGGTTTAAGGTTTTTTCTTTGAATCGTCACGCTGATTTCAGCACTCCGGCTGAAAACTCTGCACTCCGACAACTCGTGCCTACCTTTGCACAGGTGCATTTTTTTAGGGCCGATAACAAAGACAATGATTTTTAGCGTCGTTGACGCCCAGGGTTAGTGTTGGTCGACAACGACGGGGAACTTGACCCATCAATAGCTGGCGCAGTTCGATTTATCTCGAACCTGGATTTTTTCGAAACATGAAGCGCCGTGCACTCATGCAATGCTCTGTCGATCCATACATGGGAGGTTGCCTTTAAGCGCGGTTGAAGAGTGGAAAGTAGGGTGGCCATAACGATCTTTGGAGCGTGTTTTTACTCTTCGCAATGAGGCGGGGCCCGAACTAGGGCTAGTTAATCCCCATGTTGGCGCTAGATTAGCGATAGTTTGGCGCTAGAGCAACAAGGTATGTCCTCATGGAGTGTACGGGTTTGTGTCTCCTAATTATCGGTCTGGTGGGTAGGAATTAGGAGATCAGTTTCGCGATCGTTGGAACAGACTTGATCTATCTTCTCCGTGGCCATTTTGGCTCAAGCCGATCGGGCCATACCGAAAAATAAGTTCGGCGTGGGAGGAACAGGATAGATCGCTCCAGTGCAGCAATGTCGTTCCCTCCCGCTGGCTTCGCTCAAGGTCGGCAGATGGCGGCCCCGGTGGCTCCCCAGTTCGGGTTGCCTCGCCGGCTTGGTCAGCCTGAGAATCCGGGAAACTGGGGATTCTATACTCCAGGCGAGGCAGAGGCTCCCGAGAATCCCGCGGCTCCAGCTGCCGCATCCGGCGATTGGGGCTCTGGAGGCTGGGGTCGCGACGATCGTCGTGGACGTCGTGACCGTGGGGCTCCTGCTGCTCACAACCCCTTCGCTGTTCAGCGGCCTGAGTTCGTTCGCCAGCTCGTGGTCGAGGAAGAGGACGAGACGAGACCCAGAACTCGCTCCTCGTCATCGACAACCGCGATGACCGGGTGATCTCCCCGTTCCAGAACTGGCTGGCCGAGGAGATCATCTCGAATGCCGCCAGCTCGATCAATGTGCTGACGGAGCGGGACTCGGTCATGCCCCCGAACTCGGGCTACCACTGTTCGCTGTTCGCGAACTATACGCTCGATGGCATCAAGGCAGTTCTGCTCTTTTCGATGTCTTCGAGAACAGGGGGACCATGTGCTCAGTGGGACTCCTACGCGAGTCGGGCGCTATCGCACCCGGCTTTCCAGCCCTTCACTTGGCCGGTGATGTTCGATACCTCGGCCACCTATGTGGATGTGAAGGTCTTCAATGGAAACGAGGTCCTGTTCCATTGGGTCTTCAGGGGCTACCGCTCGGACTCGGATCTTTCTGTCCAGCAGCAGTTCTGTGACGAGGTGTTGATCCGGTCAGCCAACGAAGGATGGTTCCGACCCTCGATCGTCATCTCGGTCTTCGTTGGATGGAAGGTCTCCGTGACCTCGTTCGAGGTTGGAGCCCGAGTCTACACGATCGGCCCGAGAGGAGCAGTGATGGCGAGCGACCATGCCATGAGCACTTGTGAGCTCAGGGTGACAGAACGCTCGTCCCGAGAAGGCTATGGGAACGACGCCGATCGTGTTGAGTTTCGGTTCCGGGACGCCAATAACCGGATCGATCTCAAGTGCGGGAGGACTTCGGTGCCTGGCACGTGGCTCACAGTCAGCCACATCTCGGGCCCCGCTCTGATCAACACGATCCAGGCCTGTCGGAACCAGCGTGCTCGCGTGGAAGGTCCAGACCACATCCAGCAGTTCGCGCAGCTGTCTGCGGTGATCGCCCCCTGGTACCACAGTGCGTTCGCCAACGAACAGGGGCAAGTGGGAACTGCGACAGACGAGTTCCCGATGGATCATGGGAACTTCCACGTACGGGCTAGATCTAAGCTCAGGGTCTGCCCACTGGAGTTCGTCCGGCAGGAGGCGCTCGCCCACCGGTCGCACGATGAGAACAACGCTGTTCGAGCTCGGAATGGCCCCCCGGCTCTCATGGAAGAGGCGGCTCGGCAGGCGGTTCAGCAGCTGGGCTCCTCGGTCACTTCGGCGATCACCAACATGCCCACCTCGGCTCAGCAGGTGTTCGACCAGAGGGTGAGCACTGTTCCGGTGCCGGAGGAGGGCCAGCTCGGCCAGGAGCAGATTGCCGAGGAGGTCGTCACCGATGCCCGCGATCGCATGAGGGCCGACATGCGATTCTCGCGCACGTCGGCTGCGATCACGCCTCAGGTTTTCACCGACGTGCTCCAGCACCGTGAGCAGGCGGAGTACGAGCGGATCAGCACGGTCAGGGTGGAGGAAACGGGCCAAGAGATCACGGCTTCCCCCTCCACTACGACCACGGTGCCGAAGGCGTTCGCCCCGGCTTACCCGCCGGCCAGATCGTCAACGGTGCCCTACACGATGGACAATTCGGAGTAGTTGTCGATCGAAGCCTAGGTGATGGTCGGTTTTTGTGCACGCTCCTAAGAGAGTGGTGCGCCGCGCGACCGAAGCCTCCTGGCGGATCAGCCGGGCTCTTCCGCGGAACAAACATGCCGAGCGATCCTCTCGGCGCGCTAGATCCCAGCGCATGTTCTGCCGGAAGTGAGATTGATCAATACCTGTCTCAGGCACGGCGCTCGGTTACCATTAGCAGGCACGTGCGATCGTTCGTGCAGCTGTTCAGGCCCAGCATGGATAGGTCCGTTCGGAAGATCCTATCCCTCCCCCTGTTCGGGGATGAATTTTGCCAATGGTTGGTGGATCTTCGGATGGCTCAGTTCGAGAAGCTCACGGCTGTTTCGGACGGGACGATCGCTGAGTGTGTGCAAGCATTCATTGATCTTGTCCCTGCCCTCGAGGAACTCCACACGCCAGATCGGCGGAAGAACGAGGAGGAGCTCGGCAGGTGGGTTCCGTCGATCGAGCTGTTGTTTGTGCTGGTTCGTAGCACGGCAGCAGCGGGCTGGGCTGATCTGGCCACTGATCTGGGATTCGGCTTGGCTGAAGCTCCGGTCGTCTTCGGGCGATCGCCACTGAAGTCGAAGGGGACTGCAAGGAGCCTCCTATGCCATTGCCGCTCGCCAAGAGGCCGCGGGCGATCGAGCCGAGGCCTGAAGATCCGCAGGCATCGCTCAAAACCCGTGAGCTCGGCGAGGCCCGAAAGTGGGGCATGAGGCTGAAAGCGATCGTGGAGAGGTGCGGCGAGCACGCCGCGATCGCGGGCAACCCGAAGCCGGGATCACCCCTGTCTCAAGATGAGATGAATGCATTGAGGTTGATCGTCTTCGAGAGTGGCGGTTTCCGCACTATCCAGCAGTGCGTTCGTCACTGGGAGAGGATTGAGACTTGGGCGAGGTCGCAGAACCTAGTGGTGATCCCGCTGACTACCGACGTGCTCGTCAAGTACCTCTTAGATCTCTCCGACCGAGGTTGCGGCCCCACCGTGATACCTTCGGTACGTGG